TCACTACTTTCTTTTACTTAATCAATAACACACAAATTATTGATGTTATGGTCATGCACTTTCATTAATAACATTGCATAGTAAAATAATCGAACATGATCTAATTGTAAAATGTAGTTTTTTAATCCTTTTCAACAATTTATGTAACACCTCGTAGCTAGCTAACCATAGATCATAAAAGAGCTCATTTGTTCGAAAACATTTTCCTTTCAAAATCTTTAACTAACTCTTTATAAAAAGAGTTTGTTTACTTGCTATCTTGGATTTATTACTTTTTGAAGCAAGAAATATTTTCACAGAAAAACTATACTAATATGCCATATACCCCAAAGGGAAAATCCACATGTATTCACCTCGCTAGTTAGTGAAGACTACATTTCAATTTGGCTTCTAGCCTCACTCTATCTCTTAGTTCAAACGCTGGTCCAACCTATCTGGACAAATACCAAGTTCCTCAAAACTTGTCTTAATACACTTAGGAGCTTATTTATCATATCAATTACAATGACCTTTTCCTGATCTCTAATACAGCTTGGTAACCATTTGTTTCCAAATCACTAAGCTCCTAAAAACCATTACCAAATGGCTTAAATCCATAATCCAATAGTCTCATCTTACAGTCGGTGTCGGGGAAATTAGTGAACTAGGGTTTACAATCCTCATTATCCAATTGAGAGTTCCACCACATAAACTCTTTATCTATTTCTTTATACGTCAGCTCATAACAACATTGGGTTAAGAGTTTCAAATACCATATTGGGTTTATCAACCCTTCATGACTCAATATTTACATAAAAGAAATTACGCATTAACAATCGAGAGGATACCTTAGCCCAAACGACAATTGTACCCTTGTTAGACATCTGTATCTAAGCCGTAATCGTCGCTCATCGACTCAAATCTCAACTCTTGCATACTGAAGTTAAAACGACCTTTTGAAGGCTACACGTTGATGTGTGACTGCTTGGAGCATTCTTCGGAAAAACGTCCAATGAATGGAAAATTATCGTTATTTATAGGTTGAGAAATCGGGATCTGCATTGTTCTTTCCATAAGGTGGTGCTGCGACTTGAGCTATTTGTCACCTTCCTAACTGCCACGTGTAATCTTCGATCTACACGTGCTTTCGTTACTCAACACTAGACACACCACATCTTTTAAAAAGGCACGCCGCGCTTTTCAGTTTTTGCCAAATTTTCTCGAATGGCAACATAGTTTCTATTCCAACTTCAAATGGCCATAACCTTCTCATATAAAATCCATTTTTGATAAGCTTTATATCCACGAAATTGTATCACAGTTAACTACAACTTTTTTATTATTACTCCTGCATAGAGTAAATCGATTCTCAAATTCCCACGTCATTATAATTTCACATAACAATAACCTACTATAATGTTCATGCATATCAATTCACCACAACTCTCAACCAATCCCAACCTTACAGGTTCTAATCCAATAAATCATAATATTGTATTTATCACGAAATTAACCCAATATAATAATAAACATACATCTAGATGACATATATATCTAGAAAAGAAGTGTGTTACTCGCTTTGTTAGTTAGTGAAAACTAACTACCATTCTGGTATCCATAAGATCATGAATAACTAGAAAGGTAACATAAGAGCATGAAACTGTTATCAAAAGTAAAGATTAAGTAACCAAGAAGCGAGACTATCCATCAACCCTAATTTTTCGCCTGCAAACCACTTTATCTAAGGTCATATCCCGGTAAGAGAAAACTCCTCCATGTCAAGTCTCACATTATCCTCCCACTTCCATCTTGGGCGTCCTCTCATCCTGTCACCCTCAATCACAATTGATTCTACCCTCCTTAATGGCGTTGATGGTATCCTCCTTAAGAAATGTCCATACCATCTCAAACATCCTTCCTTTAATTGCATACAGTATAATCATATTATACCCTTATATGTACGGGAACCAAACGGAAAAACCGCTCATATGTTTGGTGGTTAAGTAGCTACCATAACTCACTTTCCAACCGACACAACGTTTCCAATAATCATGATGTTACAGAATATCCTAACGTCTAATTTATTTTCAACATAACTATTGGAAAAACAAATTATCGAGAACAACAATAAAATAAGTTTACACCTTGTAAATTGAAGTCATACACATTGAGTCCAAGCCGGTAAGCATAGTTATTCATAGATGTAGGATCGTCATTGTAGTACACCGGAACCATTCCATTTTTTCAGGCTTCTCTGATCTCCCTACGCACCACATTTTTAATTTCAATCGAAAATCAGCAATTCCTATTTCTATCGGGAAACATGTATGTTGTTGAAGCGATATATATTTCAAAAACAAAGAATAGTGAACTCGGAATTAGAATCGGTGGATGGGGTAATCTTTCAAACCGAAATTCTTGAAGAAGTTGAAGACGATGACAATTAAGAACATGGCGTGGCAGCTTCCATTTCGACTTGAGACAAGGATGTAGAAGACGATCACAAAGGACAAATATGGAGCTAGGGAAGAAGACGGTATATACATACAGGTTTAGGATAAATCACAACAGCAGGACGTTTTTATTTAGAGACGAAGACCAAGAGGTGGCAGTTTTGGTGATATGCAATCTGTACATCAGCCGCTTACATGGCATTAAAATTTTAAAAAACACTAACGGTTAAATAGTTGGATGCCTATAAAAATTATGTAGCGTGGACATCTTTTTCATACTTTCATTAGTAATTAATCGTAAATAATATTCTTACAAAAGTAACCTGTTCCATATCTTGATAGTTGATGAACGTATAGAAAGTTTATATCACGGCTTGAAAAAGTCAAATATAACCTTGATTTGATGTTTATCGGTTTTTATTGCTGCAGATATCACTATGGAGTATATAAAGCCAAAGGAGAGTATCATTTTAAGTGTTTCTTCTGTGGATGATAAACTCTCATCTAAATGGTTATATAGCATGTCAAGAAGTGTGGACAATACTGAAGAGAGGATGCTGGCCGTAATTACCAAATGTGACCAACTCCTTGATGATGATGATGATGTCTTTCAGGCTCTTACTAAACTCAAGGTTCGTGGTGGGTATAACTTTGTTAGAAACAGAATTGACGATGAAACTCACGAGGAAGCTCAAATCCGAGAAGCCACAGTATTTGAAGCTCACCCCTTGTTGTCCAAGATTGAAAAGGCCATGGTGGGTATTCCTGCCTTGGCCAGTAGGCTTGTTCAAATTCAATTAGTAATCATATTGAAATGTTTTCCGGACATTGTGGATAAGATCAATGAGGGGATCAATATTTTGGATTTGGAGCTCAACCAATTACCCAACAATTTTATGAGTAAAGCTGATGGACTGGTTGCATTTATGCATATCATTAGGTCCTTCACGGAAACTCTTCAAATGATGTTCATAAAAGGAGAATACAATGAGTACGTGGATTTTAAGAAAATGCATTGCAATGCTCGGTTAATTGACATGCTAGATGAGTTTTCAAAAAACCTCCATTCGAGTGTCCAATTCTCTGAAAGTTTCCTAGTTGAGGAGATGCAGGTTTTAGAGGAAACTAATGGAATCTGGTTGCCTCATTTCCTTCCTCACTCATTTTGGATTAGGAGGAAAATGAATAATGTCTCTACTTTTGCCATTCTGTTCGTGAAACAAGTGTGGAGTTATCTTGAAATTGTTTGTGCTAGAATTTTAATTGATCACTATGGGGATTATCCACAATTACTTTCCTCCATGAGGAAAGCAACTCATAATGTGATGGAGAAAATGAAGTTTGAGTTTATGGAGAAAGTTGTTGAAATGATAGAGATGGAGAAGACCACATATTATACATGTGACCCTGATTTTGTTGCTTCTTGGAACATGTTAATTAGCAACCGCGACAAGTTTATGAAGGCAATGTGCAATCATTTGGAAGAGCTAAGTATGGAAGGTCATGATGGCACTGTTAACGTTAAGCATCTATTTAGTATTCCGGAAAATACAAGGGATCAAGCATTTGATTTAAAAATGAGAATGACGGCTTATTGGAAAATTGTTCTGAAACGAATGGTGGATCGTACTGCGCTTCGGCTTCGGTTTATGATTCAAAAAGTGGTGAATAAGGAAATGGAGATGGAGATAGTGAATGAGATGATGATGCATGGCGGAGGCATAGAAAAAATGTCTGAGGAACTATCATCCACGGGCAAAGAGAGAGTGAGGCTTCAAAGAAGCATTGGGTTGTTCCAGGAATCAAAACAAATCATGGAGCAAGTTCAAGTGTAAACTAAACTTGGTTCCATCAACATCTTGCAAGAACGAAGGATTAATAATAATAAATACAAACACATGTATACCCCTTTATTTAATAAATGAAAATTAAATTGAGAAAGATTACACTTTTCAAATTAGCCCCAATTTAATTTCTTTGACATCTCCCAACTGCATGAAAGATCCCGTCAGTTGCATGATATTGCAGAGTTATTGCTTCGGTGGAGACGGAAATGGCAACAAAGTGAAGGAATTCGTCTGAAAATACCATTGTTGAGGATCAAGATGTAGTGATCCAATCGTGGGATACTACTGATTAAATAACGGGTTTGTCAATATATGTGAAACTCACTCGTGTTGGTTTTAAACTTATTCCCCTCGATTAAATAACGGATCGAAATGGCAACAAAGTGAAGGACCTCGTGTTGTTGGTTTTAAACTTATTCCCCTCTATTTTCACTTGGCTAACAGGTCAAACGGTACTGATTAAACCCCGGGTTTGTCAATATATGTGATTTAGATGAAAACTGAAAAATGTTATCTAAAGGGTGTGAGAATACAATTATGGTTTATTAACTATATCATCCCTTATCAGTTACTCCACTCGTGAAAAACTGGTTTTTATTTGAGATGGAAGCTTAGAGAAATGAAGGGTTGATTCGTTTTATGGCTTAGAAAAACACGTCATGGTGATGAGCAATTATGAGTATTAACTAGTATCATTTCTAGGGGAATACGTTAGTGGTAGTGATGAATGCATTGTTTGAATTTTGATTAATTGATGTTAACAAAAAGAACTTACCTAGGAATTCATTATCGCATATCCATTGCTCCTGTTCATTTATGTTAAGGAAGGTTTAAAATCATCCAATTTCACAAAGCAACAGCCTCAACAATTATTCATAACCACAAACTCATTTGCAACAAAAACATTCTCTAAACATACCTCAGTTGGATCACCACATTGACCACAAATCCAATAGAATATTAGAATCACCTCAAAATCAACCTATTCACCACATCCCATTATTATTAGCCCTAAAACACGCTTCCTCCTCCAATTGAGCAGCAACTCCAACATAATAATGTGGTGTCAACTTTAAAAGCTCTATTTTTGCTTCAACCGGTATTTCCAACCCTTTTTTTTAAGGAATTCAGTAATCCTCTCTTCATTAACCACTCTTCCTCTCATAAGCTCCTTCAGTTTCTCATAAGGCTCCTCAACACCATATCTTCTCATCACCTACACACAAACACAAAAATAAATAAATAAATAGAAACTATTTTCGATTATAATATAAAATTTGAAAGCCAGATACAGATACATACTGTCTGTATCGGTTCAGCAAGAACCTCCCATGAGTTGTCCAGATCCTTGTTTAAGGCAGCTTCATTCACCTACCACACACAAACATAAAGATGTTCAAATACAAATAAAATATTAAAATCTTAACCCAATTAAATAAATAAATAAAATGTTCATTTTATTACCTGAAGCTTAGCACTCTTGTAATCCCACACCAATGTTTCTCAAAACAGTAGAATCAGTCAAGTCACGCTGTCATTTTAACGAAAATGGGGGGTCAAGGGTAAAAAATATATTTACATGATAAATTTGGAGTAAATTGCAAAAATGTCCCTGTGATATCCCAAAAAGTGCAGTTTGAGTCCATTTTTCATTAAATTGCAAAATTAGACCCTGTGGTATCCCAAAAAGTGCAGTTTGAGTCTTCTTTTTAGACGGCAGTTAACTCGAGAGACCAAATCTGCATGGAAATTTCAACTTTGGACTGACCATGCGAAAGAAAAAAAAAGGACTCAAACTGCAATCTTTGGAATACCATAGGGACCAATTTTGCAATTTGCTCATAAATTTATACACCTGCCAACGGGAGATAGGTAACTTCATGCTTGAATGGTCTAAAATTGCATTAGCAATTCCAAGATTTCCTTCACTGTTTTCAAAGTCAATGTATTGGGTTGACTTTGTAAGGCATAGTCGATTCCACCAGCTTTAGTCACCTACACAATAGTTTTAAAATGTCAAAAGACCCAATTGATCATCACTTTATCACAATTCACAAAGATTCTGGAAAGTTTACCTGTTTGAAGTATCCAACAGAGATATATCCCCATATGTCTTTATCAAAATCAAGCAAGATGTTATTAAATCGAATAAATGAATGGAAAAGTTTTGCCATGTAATCATGAGATTCAATCTGCATCACAAATAGGGTTGTTTTAGAAACAATGTAAGCAACTACAGTATACATAATACAGATTAAAGAATAAAAATAAAGCATACTTGTGTTACATCATTATATGCCACAACATGTGCATTGTAGTTCACAACTGCTCTTGCAAATTTCTCCAAAATTTCTACTTTTTGAAATATCACCATTTCCTTTCCCAAAGTTGTAGGTGAAGCTGGCTATAGAACAACATATAAAACAAATTATTAATTACCCTTTTAAATTTATAGATGTTATAATTAAAAAAAAAAAAAAAAAAAAAAAAAGTTTTACCTGTCCATGAGTTCGAGAAAGCATAGGAATGTGAGCATTGGCTTTTGCCATCCCTGGAAGAATAACCAAGTTTAATGATTCTTTAAGCATTAGACCATGAGCTAGATTGTTTATGTCTTCTGATGTACATCCAAAATGAAAAAATTCAAGCACCTGTACGTTTTTTAGAGTAAAATGTTATACTTCTTGCATTAAACCTAAAAGATATGACATTGACATTGACACTGACCTTAGCTATCTGTGGATCTTCTTGACACTTTGTTTTAAGAAAATGCTCGACTGCTTTCACATCATGATTAGTTATTCTCTCGATATTCTTCACTTGCCTTGCATCACCATTGCTAAATCCATCAATTAGTTCTTGTAATTTCTTTTGGGATTCATTGCTAAAGCTTGGAACCTCAGATGCTTGAGGAATCTGTTAGAGCTTTAGTAGCTAGCCACTTTACCTAAGGTATAAAAAAAAGTAAAACATCAAAACAAATTTTTATATTACTTTGAGTGAATTGGATTTTGTTTATTCACAATGATACCTCAACCAGGGTGCGATAGTAGATAAGACCATATTCACTCAAATAATGGGTGAGATCTTCGACTTTATTCCTATAACGCCCATCTAAGAGACTTATGGCAGTTAAACTCGAGAGCTCAAGCTCGGAAGAAAATTCAGAAGGCTTCACTTTTACCTGAAATTATATGTAACTTTTCAGGAAATGTAGACAAGAAGCATATGTAGAAATTATAGTAAATAGATAAAGTAATAGGAATTAGGAAAAGTTTTACCTTTTCTACAGCTTCAATCTTGCTATTGGCCTCCTTTAAAGTTGCTTTGCAAGTGCAATTTTTGCGAGGAAGTGTCACATAAGATGAAGGAGTTGAAATACGGTTTTGGGTTGAATAAGATTGTTCATGGAGGTAACTTGCACGAGTTAAGTATAATGTTGGACAGCTGCCATTTTGAACTTTAATGCAAGATCCGATTTCCATGAATACTTCAAAAGCTTCAAAAGAATGATGTAAGGATGATAAACATTATTTCTCAACATTTTCTAGTATAAATATGGGGTGAACAGAAGGGTTATTTCTACATTATTAAAAGCCAAACATTTCTGAAACAATCTAAAAATTCTGAAACAAATTAAACAGTAAGCTACTAAGATTTAAACCCGAACACAGTAAATAAAGAGGTAATTGCATAAACTCGCAAACTTTATTATTGAAGAAAACTATCTCGAAAACTCCAATTCCACTATTACAGGATCCTATCAGGCATCTATATATAACAAAACACATCAGTATAAGCCTAGGAAACTGAAAGTAAACATCTAATACTTTCCATATAAAATAATCCTTATTACTCAAGGAACCTATGAAACCTTGAACAACACTCCAAGGTACTTGGACAGCACTCCAAGTTATCGCCATCTGGGTCAGAACACGCAATGCTCCCATATCTGACTCAGATATTCGCCAACAATCATCCCCTGAATTTCTGAGTCGAGGGTAATTCTTGCACGCCAAGCAACGCTTTCTTCTCTACGAACCTTATCTGAGCTAAGGCCTTCATAACATCGAACCAATTCTTGTTCATTTTGGCTTCCTTATAATTCTTCGGTTCTTCATCAAATGTCATCATTAAGTGATCCATAATAAGCTCGTAGTCATTTAATTTTCTTGGCAACACTAAAGTTCGAATAGATCGCCGAAGTGGGACAAAACTTGCATCGTTATTTTGATCATCAACGGGTTGCTATCATCATGTGGAGTGTCATTGATTTGTTTTTCAATTGATGTCTTGGCTTGCAAGTAATGTGGTTTAACAATTTTTAACTGAATTTTGTAAAGTCGGTTTGCACTTCTCGGGACTTTCATAAGTAATCTTCCGTCTCCATCTCTCATGGTTAGGAAATCACCTCGCATCCGAATATCACAACCGGCTATTGTAGATTGTCCAAGGCTAATAACATTGCTATGAAGTGATGGGATATAATAAATATCCTTCATTAGTTTTTGCTCACCACTTTTCCCTTCGAACAAAATTGACCCTTTTCCTTTAATGCTAACACATGATCCATCTCCAAATCTCACTCTACCCATTATATTCTTATTTAATTCGGAAAAATAAGAATAGTTGCCGGTCATGTGGTTGCTCGCACCATTGTCCAAGTACCAAATTTCGTCTTCATCAACATTTGCTTCAATTTTTGGCGGGATGTATTTGTCTTCGTTCAAGAACATTGTTTCTTGAATTGCATTCATCATAAAGAACGATCCTTCTTCATGATATGTATCTACTTCGTGTGTCTGATTAAGGTTTGCCTCAAGATTTTTGATTCGGTCGGGGCATCTTGAAGTGAAGTGACCATACTTATCACACCGGTAACATTGAATATTTGAGAGATCCCTTTGTTCACGTTGTTTTCCCTTTTGATTTTGATCATCACGAGTTTTAGTGTATTCTGAGTGACTATGATTTTGGGTGCTACCCCGACCACGTCCACCACCATGTCCACTTCCTCGATTATTCGAACCTCGACCTCTACCATTTGATGATTTAGTGATACTATATGCAGATTCGGTTTTGATATAAAGTAGATTTACTTGTGTTTCAGACGTCTTATCATCTTCCTTGATTCTTTCTTCATAGGATTTTAAGCGACCAACCACGTCTTCAAAGCCTATCGTCTTAAGATCCAAGACTTGTTCAAGGGCCGCTACAATATGCACAAATTTGCTAGGGAGGCTTGTGAGAAACTTCTTTGCAAGCTTCTATTTGTTTATAACCTCTCCAAGTGAAGCAGATTTTGAAGCAATTCCGGATAATTTTGCAGCGAAATCGTCTATTGTACTTGTATCACTCATCTTGATGTTCTCGAACTCGGTAGTCAACGTTTGGAGCCTTGCTTCCTTTACTCGATCAGCTCCAAGGTTCCGTGTTTTAGTCGCGTCCCACGTTTGCTTGCCAGTTCGAAGGTTACCAATTTGGAGTATTAAATCTTCCGGTATCGATTGGAACAACAAGCCTTTCACAACATTGTTCTTCTTGGCATCATCCAATCCGGGGTCAACAACATCCCACACGCCATGAATCCCGATTAGCACCTCCATACACATCCTCCAAATTGTATAGTTTGTTGATGTCAAAATTGTGCATTGGAACGTTAACATGTGTTCCTTAGCCGGTGGTTGGGACGATTTTCCTCCCGACATCTCGGTTCAATTTCTGATTACTCCACACAAATAAAAAAAATTGATTTGTTTTTTTTTTTAATAAAATGATTTTTTTTCTCCGAAAAATAAATTCTCACGTGAATTGAATTAATGTAATTGCTCCTTTAATTCAAAGTTGGACAAATTTGGGCCAATTAGAATAAGCCAAACACGAATGAGAATAAGGCCCAAAGTCGAACAAAAAAACACGTTCTTTAGGGCAAAAGACGCCTTCTTCACCGATCTGTTGCAGGTTCACGATCTCTACAAGCAGGACCACACCACACGAGGCAGACGCACGTAGACGATTTCACAGCAAGAACACCGAGTAGCGGTCGATTACTCTTGCTCCTAACACGATCAAGTTCAGATTTCAGGTTGACACGAACAGGAATGATCAACAATTCATTGTTCTGAACAGGTTTTCTGCTTGATGTTTCCACACGGGATCTCTCTCTACCGTAGGTATACCATAGAAGAACCACAGAGTTCTGAATGTTCTGCACACGAACTCCTTCTCTGAAATCAGATTGTTACCTTGTATGTCACAGGCTTACGAAAACAGCAAGGCTGTTACACTCGTAACTCTCCACACGAACAGAACTGCTTCAAACTCAAGCAGAAGAATTCGTAGATGGTGTTCACCACAGTAGGAATTCACAACAAAAGTTCCTTCCATCCCTTTGCTCTGATACCAATTAAAGAGGTAATTGCATAAACTCGCAAAATTTATTATTGAAGAAAACTATCTCGAAAACTCCAATTCCACTATTACAGGATCCTATCAGGCATCTATATATACTGAACAAAACACATCAGTATAAGCCTAGGAAACTGAAAGTAAACATCTAATACTTTCCATATAAAATAGTCCTTATTACGCAAGGAAACTATGAAACCTTGAACAACACTCCAAGGTACGTGGACAACACTCCAAGTTATCGCCATCTGGGTAAGAACACGCAATGCTCCCATATCTGACTCAGATATTCGCCAACAGTAAAATCTCTAAATTTTTTAAAAATTTACGTGCTTAAAACTCATAAACTGCAACAGATTAAAACCCCAATTTTCTAAAAATTCTGGAGCATTTATGAACTAATCCATACATTTCTGAAACTATCCAAACATTTCTGTAACAATCTCAATATACTGAAAGTATCAGATAAATCTCAATATACTGATAAAAGTATCAGATACGCAAAAACAAAAATAAAAATGCTTGAAATCGGAGAAGGTGAAGGAGAAAACTAAAAGTACAAATTTCGAAGTAGTAGAATCAGTGAGGCGTTAATTCGAAGCTGGAGATAGGAGAAGGAGGAGAGGAGAAGTAAGCAACGGGCGGACGCACTGCTTTTAAGATATGGGGGCACGTGCCCCGAAAGCTAATCCACTTGACATGTATTTTGAATAGAGCCGCCAAAAATCGATCCAACCCGTCAACCCAACCCGAACCAGTGGCGGATCCAGGATAAATATCAACCGGGGTCCAACCTATAACTAACAATAGTCCCTTCTGGCGACGGTGGCCAAATATACCTCAGGCGCGGCAACTGTAGCATTCCTCCGGCAATGGTGGCAGTAGGAAGAAAGCAACAAATTGATGTGGATTCTTATGAGTTATAAAAATAGATGAAATTTTTGATGAGTTTTTCAAAAGAAATGAAAAAACTCTAATGGTGAAAATTGAAATTGGATAAAAATATATCCATTACACTATTCTTTTAAATAAGTGAAGATGATCAAGAGGGTGCCAAGAGAAGTGTGCACAAATTTAAAAGAATAATTTTTTCCCTAATATATAAGATGGGTCCTATTTTCAAGTGGGGGCGATGGACCCCACTGTTTCTACACTACATCCGCCACTGACCTAAACCAACCCAAAATTAGCGGGTTGGGTTGAGATTTTCAACCTATTTAACTTAAATGGGTCAACCCGTCTAACCCATTTAATTAAATAGGTTGGGTTTGGTAAAAATTATAAACCTGTTTTCAACCAGTCAAACCATTTAACTTTAGTATATATATATATATATATATATATATATATATATAAAATTTAATATTATTTGATTATTATCATGTATTAATATAAGTATTAATTTGTAAATTATAACGTGGCATTATTATTATCTATGTTAATAAAATTCAATCCTAATTTTCATCTTTTTTTAGTGCTGATAATACTGGCCACTCTCCAAAATCACGGTAAAACTAAACATTTTTAATGTTATTTGAACAATTTATTTGTATTTATGAATTAGGGCTATGCTTTTCTCATAATTATGAAGTTTTATTTACGTTTTATAATTTAAGTGGTATAATATTTATTTATATAATTTATTTAATTGATTTTAAATGGGTTAACCCAAGTTTAACCCATTTATTTAATAGGTTGGGTCAGGAACTATATAAACAGGTCAACCCGGTGACAACCCATTTATCTAAAAGGTTGGGTTGGGTTGGAAATATCAACCCATTTAAATAAACAGCTTGGATTGGGTTGAAATTTTCAACCTAATTATTAAATGGGTTAAACCCGAACCCAACCTAGGTCGACCCATTACCACCTCTAATTTTGAATGAGGGAAATAGGCTTGAAAAGATTACCAACATGGAGGCCCATAATGAACCGGCCCAATTAGTCAAAAAAGAAGTAAAACTCGGTAAAAAAAACACAATAATGCATCTAACGTTTAGTAAATATCATCGATAATTGTTTCTTATTATAACATGAGCTATTTAAGATGGTTAATCTCCTAAGAATACGAAAAAGAAAAACAGAGTCTCACACAATTTTTTGATGTTTTTCATTCATGCAATATGAAACTTAAATACATTAAAAACGGAATGCTAACACAAATCTTGGAGATCATGGGTGCAACAATGAAGCTTTAACCTAATAATCGGAATGTCTATTCAGAAAATAAATGAAGCAGCACACGAGCTTTGACTAAGTAATCATGTGGGAATCAATCCAAAAATCGGACAGGCTTTTACACATTGTGTTTGAGCCAAAGATGCATCTTTGGGCTAGTTGCTACTCGTACTTCTTGGTTGGGTTGTATGTGGGTCATATCAATACTCTCCCTATGAGAAATGACCTCGTCCACGAGGTTAGGAAATCTTTGTTCTAATTCACTACTATCTTTCTATGTAGATTATGAGAGGTCCCGATTGGCCATTTGATGAGTACTTGAGTTTGAATGCCAGCAAAAGTATGGGTATGCACAATATGTTCAGAAGTATATGTTGGTTTTGGTTCTTCAGTGATCCATTTAGGTGAAATTTTTTCTAACCCTTGTTGAGTGTAGCTTGGTTATTACGGCGAAATGCGGAATACAAGATGAGTTTGAAAAATGTTAGAAGGTCGAGGCGATAGGCTACGGCTCCAATACGTTCAAGAATTTTATGTCACACCCCCAA